GGGGGGATTCCTCGTTAATAATTTCTCTGCTTTAATTTTTCATCTTTCTGTCCTCCTGAACCGGCTCCTCACATCCCCTCTGCCTGACGCCGGGCTAGAAACGAGTGGAAAATCATCCAAGAAACTGTGTTTCTGCCGTAGGGTCCAAAGAGGGGGGTTCTTCCCCCTCCCCCCCATTTGTTTTGGTGGCTTTTCCCCCCAATATCAAACTACTTCTTGAGGGTCCGAGCAGCCCCGCAGCAAAACGGCCGGACCCGCAGACCGCGGATCTCGCCACTCCCTCCCCGCTCGGGCCCGGGCTCCCATCGGGGCTGCCCGGGGGACCCCAAATCCTTCTCTGAGAGCTCTAGCTTCCCACGGCCGGCCGAGGCACCGCGACCCCCGGCTCAAGCGGTGGAATCGTGAACGGGAAAGGATTTTACAACATCCAGGCGAGGGGGGGCCCCTCTCTCGCTCCACCGGCTCGGGACCGAAGGCCTAAACACCCCTAGAATTTGCCCGTAGTTTTTGCTCGAATTTCGGCCCTGCCGGGTGGGTTTTCCAAAGGAGATGTCGGTACTTTCACTTTCCCAACTGTCCGTTCCATGTTTCCCCCTTACCTGAGTTTCTGTGAGGCTGAGGCTGTGTGCCAGCTGTTTTCTCTCCGCTCCTACTACATAATGGTTCTTCTCAAAGGCATGTTCCAGTCTCAGTAATTGGGATGGGGAGAAAGCTGTACGGATCCGTTTGGGTTTCCTGGCCAGTGCATTGTGCAATAGAAAGCTCTCCGGGCTGGTTTCATTCCCTGGGCAACAGGGTAAAACAGAGATTAGCAAAACACCTTTCCCAAATGCGTTCGACAGGACTTTCTAGCACAAGAATTTTTTTCTCCCACCATTATTCGCAGGAGAAATCCGACTATGGTTTCTTTTTTATTTTTCAGCGCTTTTTCGGTATTGAATTTTCATTTGATAAATAGGTGGAGAGGAATGATAAATGAGCGGGGGAAGGAGAGGACTGGGAGAAATTAAAATGCTAAAACCCAACCTGGGGAGGACTACAAAAAAAAAAA